TGGACGTCTCAGATACTGTGAGCCATATAGTCGGCGCACGTATGCTATCAGATCAAGGCAAAGGGAGTTCTGCCATCCAACCCGCATCGTCCGTATCAACTCTATATAGTCTGAGGAAACTCGTTATTGGTTTTCGACTTCTATAATAGCAAAAATTGGAGGTTAATAAATAAAATAAAGGAAATAAAAAATAAAATGAAGAAAATAAAATCTAACTTATGACATTCCATCAATTTAGTTACTCTAAGTAATGAAGTTGTTAAAATGTATTAGTACGGAGGAAATAAAGAATAATCATGAAACTCCGGCTTATCGATACTGATGACGCCATTTACATACCATCCAGAATTCATCGAAAAGATCAAAGTACAGCACAAAGTACACTCCGCTACTTCCTTGGCTTACCTCTCAAACGTTTACCAACCGGTTCAGCTCAGACAATCTAGGAATTATTCCTTCTTTTTCTCTTAGAACATAACTTTACCCACTGGTTCAATTGCCATCAAGAGTCTTTAATACGTTCTTAATATACACTTTAATTTCTGGAGAAAAAAATACAAAAGTTATGAGCAGTAAAATTTAAGAAATATAAGAAAGAAAAGTAATTTTATACCAAAATGAGAAATTCAGCTGCAGAAAAATTAATTATATAATAAAGAAAAAAAAGGTTTAGTTTTATAAACGAGAATATCATCATATTCCTGACCCCAATACTGCAGCGCAGTGTGGGCTGTGTCTTGTAGATCTTGGTCCAGATTTCCCTTTCTTGGGCCAACTCTCTTCTCTTACTCCAATCCATACCTCGCTTCCTGAACGCTTCTTGTACACTGTCTCCAAGGATATGCGTGGTTTTCCTCTAGGTCTCCTTCCTTCCACACGGGTATGGTATGTATTACTGGCTGTTCTCTCTTGATCCATTATAAGAAGATATCCGAACCATCTTAGCTTGTGCTCCTCTAGGATGGTTTCAGCCGGTTTGACATCGAGGCTAGTCCGTACAGTGGCGTTCCGGACCCTTATCTCTTCTGACATTTCCCTCGCCCTTCCGAAGGTATCGCATCTCCATGGTTTGAATTCGACTTTTTTGTTTCGAGATGAGGGTCTACGATTCAGAGGAGTACGAAAGGATAGGGATAAATGTCGAGAAAGGTTAAGTTTTATAACCGAAAATATACAAAAAATAAAATTACGCTTACCAATCAACCAAAAACTTAAATAGATGCAACTCCAGCACAAATAATACAATACAGTGGGGGCCCAGACAATTGTTATGCCGCTAGGTGAAAATTGCACATTTTTTACTTTAGCTACTAAACTGCAATTTTCTATTACTGTCACCTGTTTAAAAAAAAAAACTGAATCGACATTTTGCATCGAACCTGGACGATCGATTGCTCAAAAAGCTGTTTTCCCCCCTTCGACTACGGTTGCCTTGTGTATAAAGGGCTGTCTACAGGACTCTAGGCGAGACTAAACAAACTTATGAATTACCTCATAAGATTCATCTTTGTAATTCCCAAGCGTTCTCATGTTTCTTGTTGGTACACCGAGTTAAAGTGACTTTACCCTACTTCCCCTTCTTGGTGTTTTTCTTTTTCAAGTCCTCAGAACCAAAAACCCTCCCTACATCTTGGAACTGCTTACATTACGCTCCTCTATCCACTCTATCAACACCAGATCTCAACCTATAAGTTTATATACCCTCTCTCATAAAATCACTTTCTTCAGTAAATCCTTCGTCATTCGTGCTATCTCTTTCTGGAACTCCTTACCCACCTCCATAAGTCAAGCCATGTCCATAAACTCTTTCAAACAACTCCTATTCCACCACCTACTGCAAATTCAAAATTCCTTGTAAAAATTTCTGGGTTATATAATCACCAGCAGTTAATTGATGGAAGTCATTATATTTTAATTTATTTACTGTTTCTGTATCTCAGTATTTATTGTATATATTTGTGTTTTTTCTTAGTATTGTTTGTAGATATTTATATTTTTCTTTGTATTTTTTTATAAATTTGTATTATCCTAAGCATGTTTATTTATATATTTGCAATTTCCTAAGTATTTTTTGTATGATATCTACATGCCGACTAATGTACATAATATTTGAACTCTACTATTATTCTAAGGGGACTTCAGTTCCATAATAAAATATTTTTTATTAATTTTCATTCTCTCCCTCTCACACTCCCCCTCATCCTCTCCCTCTCCCTCTCCCTCTCCCTCTCCCTCTCCCTCTCCCTCACCCTCTGCCTCACCCTCTCCCTCCCCCTCTCTCCCTCTCCCTCTCATCAGATATTCAGGAGTACTCTTGATCAGATATTCATCCTAAAACAAGTACTTGAAAAGCGAATGGAAGTAGATCAGGACGTACACGCATTATTTGTCGACTTGAAAGCAACCTATAGCTAACTATACATGATAATTAGCCGAAACATCCATCCTAATAACATGATCTGTGTGGACTCTAAGTCATTCCCGAAAGTGGACAGATTCAAATACCTCGGCTACACAATAACCTCAATAATTGATCAAATAATCGATATAGGCCAGCGAATAACAAGTGCAAACAGATTTTTCTTCTCCATTTTAAGGGTACTGAAATCCTGAAAAATCTCCAGAAATCTAAAAAAAGGGTGTACACCGCCGTCATTAAGCCAGTTCTTCTGTACATTTGCGAAACCTGAGCTCTAACCGGCACATTAGAAGTCAGAATTGACATATTCGAAAGAAAAGTTCTATTTAGGGTAACAGGAACTATATGGGACCAGAACCTTGACACATGGTGGAGAAGAAACAATAAAGAACTGTTGAAAGAAACGGGCCAGTCAATACCTCATGACATAAAGGCAAAGAGGTTAAGTTGGGCGAGGCATGATGCTCGTTGCAATCGATCAGGACGCCTTTACACAACAATGAATGCCAGAGTAGTAGGTAAAAGACCACGTGGGAGTTCAAAAAACCAGATGGATAGATAGGATAAACAAAGATACGGCTGAGCTTTATGCCGGAAACTTGAAAACAGTAAAATATATATATATATACATATGAAGACTTGGAAGATATTGTACGATGAGTACACATTAACGGTTGTTGAGAGAGGAGATTGGGCCGGGATCACTTTTAACTGACAGGTTTTCTCCCTTAATTAATTATTTTAATTAAGGGTACAACATTTGTAGAGGCTGGGCACTAGAAGGGACTCTCTACCTCAGGGTCGCCCCACAGCCGATGAAACAGAAAACATAATTTTTTGCCATAAGCCGGAATTCTAACCTCGGATCTCGAACATTGGAATTTCAGAGCCCTAACACTGAGCTACCCCACTATCTGTGGTATGGGCTATATACACATTTATACATACACATTCTGTTTTATAAATAAGTATAGATTAAAGAAACTTTTTTTTTTTTTTGTTACAAGTATCTTAGTTTCTCTATTTAAATAAATAACGTACGACTTCGAAATATATTAACTTGTATTGTTAATCTGGTCATTCTAATGGCAAATCGTAACATTGTCACATAGTCCATTACATTTGTTATCAATTCTATGCCCTTTAAACGTTTACCTTCTTCTTCTTCTCTCACTATCTGATATTTTATGTGTGATAAATATTCAGGACGTATTATAATTATTTTTTTTGCCGACATTTCAACCCAAACGTGTGGGTCATCCGGGCTGAAAATTTTAATTTATTAATATATTATTGTATTACAATCAGAAATATAATATTATACGACCGATAATGGTAAACAATAAACTATAGTGATTGATGGACCATGAATATTAACTACTATTATTCTTCTTCTCTCACTATCTCCTGTGTGCTGCTAAGCGTGGAGTAGCGCCCTCTGACCATCTTGTCCAACCGTCCCTGTCCTGTGCAAGCCTTCTCATCTCCGTCATGGTGCTTCCTCTCGCTGTGCCAATTCTCTCTATCAAGTCTGCATACATAAGCTTCGGCCTGCCTTGAGGTCGCTTTCCTCCCGGTCTTGTTTCTAGAAACCACCTGGCCTTACGGTCATCTCCCGTTCTTTTAACATGCCCGTACCACTTCAACTGCCTTTCTTCAATCGTCTCTAGGACGGATCTAACTCCTAGTTCATCTCGCACTCTTTCATTTCTTATTAGATCTCGCCTGGTTTTCCCAATATTTTCCGTAAGAATCTTATTTCTGCAGAGACAATCTTGCTGGCATGGCGGTCCAAGAGTGTCCAGGTCTCCGATCCATATAGCAGCACTGGGAGAAAAACTGGTTTAAATAGCAGAATCTTCGCTTTTCTGCTCATCTCCTGCTTTCCATTTAGTGTCATGGATATTTGGTAGTATATTCCATTGACCTTTTGGACTCTATTCATGACCTCCTGGTCTATTCTTCCATCTCTGCCAATCATTGTTCCCAGGTAGCAGTAGGTATCGGTTTGCTCAAGGGTCTCTCCATTGCAAGTGATCCTCGTTGAAACACACATGACCCTGCTTTTGAAGGGATTGATCTGCATGCTTCTGAGTTGCAGTTCTTCTGGCCACTCATTCCCAGCGACCTGGAGCGATTCAGCAGTATCCGCAACCAATACAACCTGCGTACAACAATGCCTGTGTCAACACTGGGGTCATATTCCAGTATCCCACTATTGCTCTGGGTGTCCTCCTTTTACAAAATTTCCAAATGGCATCCATGAAAATTATGAACAGTAGTTGGCTCAGGCTATCGCCCTGTTTAACTCCCCTAAAGAAATAGAATGACCTAGACCCAGCGCCGGCTAGCCTTATTACTCCCTTAGGGTCTTGGTACACTGACTTAATTACCGTTTACCACAAACTTGTATTTAACAATTTATTGTAATCTTTAAAAAGAAACACAACTAATTACATTACTACTGTTTAATAACAATCTTTTATATTAAATATTATTCCAGTTCGTGGCTCATCCAAACGTCCAGCAATTACTGGCAGCTATTTGGTATGAAGGTCTCCCAGGATTTCGAAGGAAAGGAATGATTCAGCAGGTTGTGGAAGTGGCCAAACTTGGAGCAATGTTTCCCTTCTACACTGTTATATACATGATTGCACCAACCTCAAGAACTGGCATGTTCATGAAGAAACCTTTCGTTAAATTCATTTGTCATTCTGCTTCTTATAGCTTCTTTTTAAGTAAGTGTTGGTCTATATATATATATACACACATAAATCCGATAATTATATATATTACAAAAATATATGGATTTAATTTTCTGTTGTTACATGGTCATATTTTTGTCATATTTTCTGTGGCTACATGATGTATTGCGCTGTGGTACTGAAACCCTTGATCAAACCCAAATTCACCCTCATATAACAATATCCGATACTTCTGAACTTAATACTCCTATGTAGCCTGTCCGTAGCATTTTTGAACTCCCTGCCATCTAATATCCAATATGCCTTTTCTTTGACCTCATTCTAATACCTTATTTTCCAATATCGTCTCACATCCCAAACAGACGCTTTCCAATCACGAATATGAATGTAATTTTGATAGAAGAGAATGATCGGTCTTATTATACAGATTTTTACATTAAAAAAAAAACACTACCAGTTCATAGTGTTTCCATTTTTTCCCCTCAATGTCTGCTTCTTTTTTTTATTGCAAAAATATTTAATCTCGAGAAGCTTAAATTTTTGTCCTCAATATATCGTTTGAATTTTCGTTAATGTAATTTATAGCCTGCTGATATTCTTAAGATGATTTATCCCAGAATAAAGTTTCTATCTATCTATCTATCTTATCATGTCAACTCTCGAAAACAAATTAAAATAATAAAATATAAAATTTTTAAATAAGTTAAGACTATATATCTTTTGGTAAAATTTATTTCATTTTTGTATTCTGCTCATAAAATCCTATTTACTTTTTTATTTTATTTTAGTTATACAACTTGAAATAATCAGAATCCAAATCTCCACCTGTTGCCACTACTCCGAATTGTATAAATTAGGCACTCGAAAATACACAAGCACATCAAACGTTATTGACTCCGACCCAGCAATTATGATTAACCATCACTAAGTCGGTATAATTTTAGCTCCTAATATTAGTTATGATTTATTTATTATCAGTAATATTTTGAGCAAAGAATGAAAAACTGATATAAACTTCACAACGGATGTGTTTCATTTAAAACGTTCATACAAAATGCAGTGTATGATAGGTAATTATAATAAAATTAAAAATATTTTAAAGTATTCAAGTAACAAATGGTGTTTATAAATGTTTAAATGATTTTTGTGTAAAAATTGAAAATAGTTCAGTGTATTGAAAGCAAGTTATTTTATAAATTACAGACTTGAGCCTTTTGAAAATCAATGAAAATACAACTTTAGTGGTGAATATTGGTTTTACAACTTATTTGAGATATTCTTGGTTAAAAAGATTAAAATTATGACTAAAATTTGATGAATATAGAGGATGTCCTGCAAGAAAATATTTTTAGAAGTTATAGCACTCAAGAGCTTCAAAAAAGTTTATATAAACAGTGGTCTCAGAAATCCTAGTTTTGTGTTGTTTTTTTAGGTGTTATAATTTCTTATATGGTTATTGAGTTCTAACCTAAAGTTTGGGTTATAGTTAATATACTATTTTCATGTGATCTTCAATAAAGTTATCATTTTGTTCACATGTGTATGGTTTTTTATCAAACCTCTATCCCGTTGTAAATAGTACACTTACAATAAACTGGCGACGGGAATGGGATCATTAAAAATATAAATCATAGTGATTGGGGTTCTCCATTGGTCATCGTTCCAAAACCCGAAGGAACTGCCCCAATGTATGCCGACAACAAAACGACAGTAAGTCCTCAATTACGAACCGCTCGATATCCAATAGAAGAATCAGAGGAATTTTCAACAGTCTCATCTTAGTCAAAGTGTCATCTTAGTTTTGCCGGTTGAACTTATTAAAAGCCTCTATACTCGGATAAAAGCCTCTATAAATGGATCAGCGAAGCCACGCAATTAAAAAAAAAAGTCAACTTATCGCGGTATCTATTTTACGAATCGTTTATCAGTTAGCATAGCATAAAGGCGACTCCCAGTAAATTTAACAGAATTTTGGAACAGGTTCTTTAATGATTCGTTGTCCATACTAAAATAATAGAAGAATGTCGAAAACGACTACCAAATTGTTTGGATTGTTTAAGAAAATACGACCTTCGTTTGGACAAATGGAAGAGCGAAGTTTTCAAAAATGAAATCAAATTCCTTGGATACACCATTAGAAAAAAATCAAATCATCTGCGAAAACCACATCTATTTAGGAAATGACACGTCTAATAAACGCTGACGACGTTTGCCGCTTTCTTGAACAAATATCATATTACTCTCGATTCATTCCAGATTGTTTCTCAATAACCTACCAACTGTGGAAAATTTTCCAAAAAGATTCAAAATTTTACTGATCTCTCCGATATGAAGCCGCGTTACTAAAATTGAAAAATGAAATTTCCAGCAAATGTCAACTGCTTATCAAGAGTCCTTCTCAAACAAACAGGGTCATCTATGGATTGCATTCTTGGTAAACAAGTCAGCATGATTGCTGCAGTAACAGAAAATGGCGAACATCTTTCAAAAATTCAGATAGCTATGGTAAACGGGAACACCAAATGTGGTGCAGTGACCAAGAGAAAAAACATTGCATACAATAAAATGATGCAAAGGAAGCACACACGAAGCTCTGTCGAGGAATACAGAGCAACGAGAAGGCGCGAGAGGCATGAGGAAGAAAAGACGATGGGAGTATAACAGTCTACAGAAGATAGAAGAGGCCTACATCTCCAAAAATACTAGAGAATTCTTCCAGGTTATTAATAAAGGAAGAAAGCCCGTACCACAGGATGCAGAGCAAACGATGGCTCCTTAGTAACTGACAAACAAGGCATTTCGGACAGATGGGCTGAATACTTTTCAACTCTCCTTAACAGAAATGACACAAATGTCTCAGAGGCAAATGATCCAATTACAGGTGGTGAAGACGTAGAACCCCCAGACGAGGAAGAAATCAATGAAGTCATAGAAGGGCTAAAAAGCAATAGAGTCCCAGGCATTGATAACATCCCTGCAGAGTTCTATAAACATAGTAGTCAAGAGCTCATAAAACTTCTCCAGGAAATGTTTCATGCCGTTTGGGTTGATGAAGAGCTTACAAGTGATTGGAAAAAATTAATTATATGCCTAGTGTACAAAAAAGGGGACGTCTATCAATGTAATAGCCTTGCCATAGATGCAGTCGGGTGGTGCATTCTGGAACCCGTCATACTTGTTCTTATTAACCTATCCAATTCCTGGAGCGACGTTGTGGACCATTTTAGAATTCCAAAGCTGTAAGATAAGGAAGGAATAACTCATGTATTTATAGCTTTTATCATTAAACCTGAAGAAAGATGTGTTCTAAGGATGATCTTTAGTCTTTTTTTAAATGAACCTATCAATTTACATTTTACATCCTTTCTAGCTATTTTTAAATGCTGTTCTATTCCTAGATATTTATACATATCTTCTTTCTGAAGGTTCTTAATATGATATTCTTCATTAAACAAGTTTTCGGAATTATTCGGTTTTCCTTTTATAACGTGAAGAACTGCGCATTTCTCAGTCCCAAGGGACATCTGTATGGAGTCACTAAAGTGGCTGACTGTCTTTAGCATAGACTGGAGCTGGGATTTATTCTTTGCGTAGAGTTTTAAATCGTCCATATAAAAGCTATGACTGATCATTGCACTTAATTCATTAAATTTTACTTTGTATCCATTTTCTTCACGATTTAATAAAATTGACAATGGAGCCATCGCAAGACAAAACCAAAGGGGGCTGAGGCAGTCTCCCTGGTATATACCTCTTGAAATGGTAATGTATTCAGGTGATTGATTATCTCCTATTCTCAGTCTTGTTTTCCAGTTGTCCATCAATTTCCTCAGAAGTTCTTTAATATAAGGATGGATTTTATATAAATCCAGAACTTTTATAAGCCAACTATGAGGAACTGAGTCAAATGCTTTTTTGTAATCAACCCAGGCTATTGACAAATTTCTTTTATTCATGGTCGTCTGGCCTGCAACGAATGAACCGATGAGCAAAAGTTCTTTACACCCTTGGGCTCCTTTTCTACAGCCAAGTTGCTCGAGTGGAATCAAATTATTGGTTTGCAAGTGAAATTCAATTTTACTTGTGAGAATTGATGGTAAAATCTTATACACACCGTTGAGGCAAGTGATTGGCCGAAAATCTTGGGGGTCCAATCGATCTCCTACTTTTTTGGGGAATCAGCACAGTAACGCCCTCATAAAACGTTTTGGGAATGTCTTTCTGCCCTGTTATCATTTTTTTATAATTCATTGCAAGTGTTTCATGCAGGCAGGGTAGATTCTTTAACCAGTAATTCTGAATTCTATCACTACCCGGCGCTTTCCAGTTTTTCATTTTCTTTGTAGCGATGATTACATCTTCTTTCGAGATGTCGAATTCTGGCATTTGAGGTTTCTCCTGAAGTTCAGTATTTACTAATTTTAACCATTCGTTTTCATTATTATGCTCTACATTGTACTCCCAAAGCTCTTTCCAATACTCTATAATATTGTCAGTTAATGAACAATTTGCACCTCCCTTATTGTCATTACCTGAGCTCCGATAAAACTGCTGCTCAGGTTCCCGCCTGGTGCAGCCTCATTCCCAGGCTCGTCCGAGGCTATACGTCGATTTCTTAGCTCCATTTTTGATGGGTGATTGCATTTTAAACCTACTGCCAGGCCTTCCTAGGTAAGGTTGCCCTAGGGTGTGTACTGCAAATGTCCTTGGTGTCAGTGTATGTGGTATTGTGTACTGTGATGTATGTGTTTGTGAACGGTGGGAAAGGAGCCCAAGGGTGTAATTTCACTTGCAAACCAATAATTTGATTCCACTCGAGCAACTTGGCTGTAGAAAAGGAGCCCAAGGGTGTAAAGAACTTTTGCTCATCGATTCATTCGTTGCAGGCCAGACGACCATGAATAAAAGAAATTTGTCAATAGCCTGGGTTGATTAAAAAAAAGCATTTGACTCAGTTCCTCATAGTTGGCTTATAAAAGTTCTGGATTTATATAAAATCCATCCTTATATTAAAGAACTTCTGAGGAAATTGA